ATTTTACTAAAAAAATATAAGAAACATAATTTTATTTCAACTCGCAATATTTTTATTGTATTTACATTTTAAAAATATATTGAATATTAAATTTTATCTTTCTAAGTCAAAAAGAGATAAAACTTAAGATATTGATATAAGGCTAGTAGCTGCTTGTCAAGGGAAAATCGAAAGTTATCTAAAAAATAAAATTTGTTTATTAATTCCAGAAAAATCAACTCCAATCATCCTCGCTATATTTTTTTTGTAATCTACACGTAAAAATACGTCAAAATATATAAATTTGAATCACTGTAGAAAAACTTTTTTCGTTTTTTGCGGAAAAATACATTTTTTTCTGAAATTTATCATTTTTCTTCAAAAATTTGATAAAAATTGATCATCAACTCCAATCGCGCTTAAATTTTTTCCCTGTATTTTTCACGCAAAAATTGAGTTTTACAGCAAGTATGAACAGTCTGGATTGAATATTGTGTGCGCTAGGGAGAATAAATCATTTTTTTCGAAATTTTTGATTTTTCCTTGACAACGCTATGTAAATTAATCCGAATCAAGTTCGCTATAATTTTCCTGTAATTTTCACGTAAAAATACGTAAGTGTGTCAAATTTGAGCTCTTTATGTCAAAAGATGTGGCCGCTAGGGGGGGGGTACATACTCATTTTTAGGTATTTTTCGTAAAAATTCATAGTTTTTCCTTGACAACGCTATGATAATCAACTCCAATCATGCTCGCTATATTTTTTTTGTAATCTACACGTAAAAATACGTTAAAATATATAAATTTAATTTCCTTTAAATAAAATTTTGTTCGTTTTTGGTGGAAAAATACATTTTTTTCCTAAAAGTGTCATTTTTTCTTGAAAAACTTGATAAAAAGTTAATCATCAACTCTAATCGTGACCGCTTTTTTTCCCCTGTATTTTTCCCGTAAAAATACATTTGTATACTAAATATGATCTGTCTGGGTTGAATATTGTGTGCGCTAGGGAGAATAAATTATTTTTTTCGAAATTTTTGATTTTTCCTTGACAACGCTATGTAAATTGATCCGAATCAAGTTCGCTATAATTTTCCTGTAATTTTCACGTAAAAATACGTAAGTGTGTCAAATTTGAGCTCTTTATGTCAAAACATGTGGCCGCTAGGGGGGGGGTACATAGTCATTTTTAGGCATTTTTCGTAAAAATTCATGGTTTTTCCTTGACAACGCTATGTTAATCAATTCCAATCAAGTTCGCTATAATTTTCCTGTAATCTACACGCGAAAATACATATGTGTACTAATTTTCAGCCCTCCAGATAAATTTATGTGGCCGCTAGGGGGGGGGGTACACGATTTCAAAAAAACCGATATTAATAGGGTTCCGAACCGAGTACGGAACCCTAAAAAAGTGGAAATTATCAAAACAAGCATGCGAGTTGTTTGTCCAGTGCTGCGAAACTTGTACTCGTAAAAAAGCTCTACCAAAGAAAGGCGTAGTTGTAAAACCCATTAGAACAAATGGATTTAACATGCGAGGACAAGTAGATTTGATAGATTTTCAGTCTTGTTGTGACGGCGACTTCAAATGGATATTAAACTATCAAGATCACGCTACTAAATTTCTCCATTTGAGACCATTAAAAAGTAAACACGCAAAAAATGTAGCTGATGAGCTTTCGAAAATATTTTTTACATGGGGAGCCCCACAAATCCTCCAAAGTGACAACGGTCGTGAATTTGTTGCTTCGGTAGTGAATGAACTGGCAGTTATTTGGCCGCATTGCAAAATTGTCCACGGACGCCCTCGACATCCACAAAGTCAAGGAAGTGTGGAACGATCGAATGCTGATGTGGAGAATATGATTCGAGCATGGATGGTTGATAACAAGTCATGAAAACATTTTCGGAAGAAAATTTCCCAGTTTTAAATATAGGTGACTGCATCACACTTGCTGTTCCAGAGGTAGATCGAGGACCACTTGATTTTAATAATATTATTGGAATTATTACTAACTTTCAAAACGGAGTGTACCAAATAGGCACAAAAGACGGGTTGATTAAGGGTTGGTTTCCTCGAACGGAAATACAAAAATCATCAGTTTATTCGATAAAAATTAATGAAGTGGTAGAATCTACATTGATAAGTTTAAGAGAGGCTGCAGCTAAACAATCGATTAATGGTGGCCAAGGTTTCAAAAAGTGTAATTGTAGAGCATCACAATTGCAATGTAAAACGAAACGTATTTGTTTTAAATCTGGCACTTTGTGCAATTCTCGCTGCCACCAGAGTCTGCCTTGCTTAAACAAATAAATTTTTTAAAAATAAAATAATTAATGCACCCTGAAAAAATGTTTCGTAGTTTGTTAATTTCCTTTCTCGATTATTTCAGTAAGAAAGTTTCATATTTTCTAATGGCCTAAAATGATTTAGGCTGATAGCTAACTGCCTAGGCATTTCGCTAACTGGCGGATCTACTCAGGCCAATAGAAGAATGCAAGTAATAATGAAGTTCATTTGTCTATTCGGCGCCGGTTACCTAACCGCCTAGCCAGTTAGCTAACTGGCGAAATCTTCTAATGGCCTACGACATATATATATATATATATTCAATTTTTCAAATTATTCCCGCGAAACGCAACACCGACGTTTACTTATTTTTCCACTGTCCCATGATTGCATTTTAACGCACGTTAATGTTGGACTTTATTGTATCCACCAATAAAACTCAGTAATTATGTAAGTATGGAGGGGAGAACTATGATTCTATTGGTTCATTAATTACTTCTCTGCAACCTTGATGTTTTTACGCATTCATGGGACATTGGCGAAATAAATAAACGCACAGGTAGCATTTTTCCGATTCAGCCTACTTCATATGAGATGAAACGCGTGGTAGATATTACATAAAGTACATAACGTACATATTCAAATAAAAAATTTCTGTTTACTTTTTTGCAATTGTTTATTGCATATTTTGATTGTTGGCGTAAGTAGATCAATTTTACCTACTAAATAAACTCAGTGTGTCTAGTAACCGGGAGATAGTCTGGAAACTAAAAAAACCTGCAGTGGGATTACTAATAGCGCTAGTTGCTATGTAGCGCTTTTTGTTATTTAGAATTAAAAACTTACATATTTTTAGTGAAATTTGTTCCAAATCATGGCCAAAATAAAATACCGTTGACAATTTCTTCAAAGCTTAAACTGCAAGATGGTAATTTAGAAGAAACTATAAACATAACCCCTCTAAATAAGGACATTGACATAGAATTCATGTCAATTTCCTAAAATATTTTATCTACGTAGCAAACAAATACAACATGAATGTGAGATCAATTCTCTAACTTCATGTTTACCAACTGTTAGTTTCAAATAAAATAATTAACTAGTGACGAAATAAATTATACTTTAATATTGCAAATAACCTATTAATTTAATAAATAACAACTTTAAAATTAAATTATCTAGTTTAATGTTAAAATAATTTATAAAGGGAAATAAATTTTTTTAATTTAATTTAATAAATAAAAAATTTAAATTAGGATAATCTTTACCAGCCTAAATTTAAAAAATGATAAATTTTTTTAATTAAATTAATTTAATGTTTCATTTTTTGAAAAACTCTTTAACTCACAAAAAATGCCCTATACATTTTTTTAGTGAACCCTTGCGTGAGAACAAAAATTCTATTTCTGAGGTTATATCTTCAAAATTTTTTTAATTAAATTTTTTTCCCATTTTAGACAATGTCTAATAGAAATTTTTAATCCTATGAAAAAGATAATAAATATAAATGCAATAAATATTTAATTATTAATATAAAAAAGAAAAGTAAATAGTTTATTATTATTGGATAAAGTTGAATTATTTTCTTGATTTTTTGTAAGGATAGAAATTGTAAATAAAAGTGTTAATATAATAATATTAATAATTATCATCGCCTCGAATTGCCTTTCTATAACTTTTGAGATTTGAAGTGTTACACTTGAAAAATTTGTCAGCCTTTTAGATACTTCTTTTAATTGCTTCATTTCTTCATCGTGGGAAATTCTTATGAATTTGATACATTCTTGATTCTAAAAAAAAATGGTTAAATTATAAAATAAAGCAAATATGAGAAAAACAATTGTACCAACCTAAATCTATCGAAATAATACCATTTTTTTAAGTCACCCGATAGCTAGAAAATTTTTTAAAGTGAATGTAGCTTTGAATCGCTACGTAGCGAAATCTTCGTAGCGTTGTCGCTATTTGTAATCCCACTCCTGGAAAACGGGGAATTAGCCGGGAGAGGAAAAAAACTATGGAAAACCGAGAAACAAAATACCTAAAATGGTAAATTTAATAAAAATTTTATAAAATCGTCTGCTATTAAAAGAAATAATTTTTCTACTTGAAATTAAAAAAGTATTTTTTTTATAATATATTATAAATATATTTAAAATATTTGCTATTTATAAGTATTTAAAATGACTTTCTCAAAAATATTTTTCAAGTATAGTAATAGAAAACTAAATTATCTTGAACCGGGAAATAACAGAAAGTTGAAAAACTAGAAATTAGTAGACACCCTGTAATCAAATTTTTGAAAAAATTATTAATGATACTCTTGCATATTTCTAATTTCAAAGAAGACTCCATTAAGAATACGTGCTATGTAAATTTCACCTAAGACCAGAAAAGTGTATATTTAATAAAAATCAATTTCAAACATGACATTATATATAAATACTATTCAATGATATATTTTTATTTACAGGTAAGTGAAAATTTAAAAAATGAAAGCAATAGATATTCTGTTATACTTATATTGGCTTTTAACATTATGCGATTCTTTGCCGCAAACGTCTTCAACATTTCATGAAACACAGGAACATATTCTCCATGTTTATATAATATATTTAGAGCTGTATAAAATAGAGTTATCAACAAATAAAAGAAAATTTTGGGTTAGGCCAATATTCACAGATCAACGTCGAAGAGCACAAGGTGCCAGTGATAATCTTATATTTGAAATGGACACGCAAGATAGAGAGCAATATTGGAAGTACTTGCGAATGTCTAGAAAAATGTTTTACAAATTACTTAAAAAAGTCCAACCTTACATTAAAAAGAAATTTGTTGTTCGAAAACCAATTCCGGCTCATACGAGGCTGCATATTTGTCTTCGTTACCTCGCCTCTGGTGATTCAATGGAATCCATTGCTTATCAATTTAGAGTAAGTCATAATACTGTATCAAAAATTGTACGAGAAACTTGCAGAGCAATTTGGATATCATTGAAAAGAACAGCTTTTCCTCGTTTAACCAGGGCAGGTTGGTTGTCACATGCAAAAGCTTTCGAAGAAAAATGGAATTTTCCACATTGCATCGGTGCAATCGATGGGAAATTAATTTTATGCAGGTAAATATAGATTTTAAAAATTTACAATATAGAAACCTAGATTGTATTTGCCGTCATTGTAATTAACAGAAATTAATTGTAATATTTTCATAGGCTCCGGCTAATTCTGGTTCTCAATACTACAGCTACAAGGGGAGGTTTAGCATTAATTTAATGTCCATAAGTGATGCGTACTACAGATTTACTGCAGTTGATATTGGTGCTCCTGGAAGAAGGAGCGATGGTGGAGTATTTACAGAGAGTGAAATGTTCAGAAAATTCGAAACAAATACTTTCGAAATCCCCAATCCAGAAGCAATAATCTCAAATGCTCCAGCCTTACCATATGTTCTAGTTGCAGATGAAGCATTTACATTGTCCAAATATTGTATGCGACCTTACCCTAGAAGTAAAACATTGAATATAAAAAAAAATTTTTAATTATCGATTAAGTCGAGCAAGGCGAATGGTTGAAAGTGCCTTTGGAATATTAACGGCTCGTTGGAGGATATTCAGAAAAGATATTATAGGTTCCACAAAGCTGGTGAGGAACATAATTCAAGCAACGACATGTCTTCACAACTGGATTATTACAGAGTCATTAAATAATCCAGAAAATGTGTGTCAGTACACTCATTTATCAAGGGTAGATCGACAATCTGTTAACGGTATGTAATTTCAGAAAAGTTTTAATTAAATTCCACAACTGCAAACTTATTTTCTTTAAATAATACTTTCTATACGCATCCAATATCTTGAGTAAAATAAATAAATTGAATTTAAATAGATTTAACAAATTTGAATAAATAATTAAAATCAAGGGTATAAGAAGATTTTTTGTTTAAAATTTTTATCTGTTAATTATTGTTTTAGCTTTACAAAACATACCAAGACAAAATGAAGTAGCAGGCCAACCTTTACGTAATGTAGATGCTCAAACAGTGCGAAACAATTTTGCTGAATATTTTATGTCACCTGAAGGAGAATTATCATGGCAATATGACAAAGTATTACAAAATAATTTCTAAACTCAATTTTTTACTATTTTTTTTAATGACAATATGATGGAATACGATCATAAAATGAATTATTATGTAGGAAAAATAAAATTTTATTTTTTTAAGTTTCTTATTTTAAGAAGAAGATAAGAAGAAAAGTATAAATGTTGAACGATTCTTTTATACTGGGAGTATTATATTATATACACACTTATGATAATATATACTTATCTCAAGTTTTTGGTTCTTTCATAACACATTGTTCTTAATATAATTTATAATATCAACACTTACAATATCGTTTAGAAATTTTAAGATTTCTTAATATTTTTTATAAAAACAATTATCGCAGAAAGTATTTTATAACATGTTACAAAATACTCTAACAAAACAGTAAGATTTTGTAATATTTATAACATTTTAATATTAATCAACTTGCAATTAAAAGTATTGCTAAAACGAAACATTTAAAATGTTTAATTTTTCATATATTAACATTTTGAATTTGCAGTAAATAAAACGTATTTATGAATATTTTAGTCAAAAATGTACTAAACTTTGATTTTCTTGCTCAGTAAACTCATTTTCTAATATTTCAATGAAACGTCTATGAACACGAAGTTGACGTACAGTATCTAATCTTTTAAACGTTTCAGAGAAGTTTGAAAACAGCATGTCCGTAGGATCTTGTTTTTGAATTGTATGTGATTTAATCTTTTCTAGTACCAACATCTGCAAATCTTCTGTTCTGCTTATAGCTGCTAAAAATTTCAACGTTTAATTATCTTATGAAATTATAGAAATTCAGAAAAACATTCACCTTTATCTTTTCTTTGTATCGACGTGGACGGCCTCTCCTTTATATTTTTGCCAGCATTTTCTTTTAAGGAAGGTGTTCTTCTGTCAAAAAATATTTAAGATTATTTAAATAACGACTTACAAGGTAATATATAGCTAAGTAATACAAATATGTAATGAGTATCACTATATGTCTACGTCCTCATGAAAAGGGACCACTTTGTTGATTATAATAAGGATTATTTTTGCGTGAAACGTCAATGCAAATATCGCTCTGATTGTAATCGACAAAGTGGTCCCTTTTCATGCGGACGTACACATATAATTTTGATTTCATTTTGAAATGAGAACATTTCTTATATAGATATTTTAAAAACTATTATTACTCTATAATAATAAATAAAATAAAAAATATAAATTATTACTCTATAACACTTACGTTAGAGAATCTGAAATTAATTCTGTATCTAAACCATTATCGTCTTCACAATCGTCATTATTAAGATCTCCTAGGGGTCTTCGAAATGACACATTTTCATCATTATTAACAGGTAACTCTTGCAATACCAAATTATTCAAGGTGTCTCTTAAAAAATTATATTAAATATTAAATTTTAAAAGGCAGAAAATTTCAAAATTACAAAAGACAATCCGCCCGGATATCCATCAGAATATTTGTAGATGGTGCGGATTCTTTATTAAAACTTACAAGATGTGTAAGTTAAAATTGATTGAGAAAATATTGATAATGTTTAGATGCGAAATAAAGCATTTTAAACTATAAAAATTTAGTCACGTATAATAACTCGTGTAATTTATATTCTGATTAAAAATTAAATGTATTACTGGAGCATGTGTAGTTTCAGTGAGAAATGCAATTTTTAAATCAAAGTATGAATTACAAATAATGTAAAAACTATATAAAATTGTAGTATAAATTACACGTGTAATATATACGTATTTTTCAAAAAATACACTAGTATTTAAGTCTTTAAATTATTTGAAACAATCAGAAAAATTTCATATTATATACATGGAGTATATAATGTCACTTGACATGAAATCCCTCACATATAAACAATTGATTTCGGTGGTTATATGACAGATGTAATTTTTGTTTCTTTAATAGAGAAAGGAAAAATTAGAAATTAAAACTGCATACCTGTCATTATCACATTCTGTTAAAAACAACATTTCATTGAAGTGTCGGAACTGTTTAGGATCCTGTTTGTTGTAAGCTTTCTTAAATTGGTCCCGTAAATTCCTCCATATCCTCTTTGCATCACCAACAGACCAGTCTGTGAATATAAGGTAACACAATAAATAATAAATTCAGAATCATACACAATTAAGATAACATTTTGCATATAATGGTATTTCAAATCCCATTTATTATTTTCGATTTAAAAAATGACAAATATTAACTAAATTGGAACCAAATTGAAGTCCACAACGCTGATCAATGAAAAAGATTTTGAGTAAGTATATCACCCAACAACAACGCAACATTATTGCATCAAGAATGTATAAAAAGCAAAATTCGCATTCACATTTTAACAATAATTGTTACATGTTTGTGAATAGTAATATTGGAATACGTTATATATTTTTTTCTTGATAAACGTTCTAGACATCATCTCTAATAAATTGAATAAACTTTCAGTAGTTCACGAAACTAATTAACTGTTTCATTGATGACAATTATGATATATTTTCTTTGTTTTTAAAAAATGGTAATAAATTAATACATTAAGTAATATAAATACTGTACAAATATAAAGTTACCTGAACATGCAGCTTCGGCAATTTCCTTCCACAACTTTTCTCTTTCTTCTGGAGATACCGCCTGCTGAAGCTGTGAATTGTATAAACCTGGTCTTTCGTAATAAGCGCTAATTAAACGAATTTCTTTAGCATTTTTCCTTTCCTTCATTGATAATTCCTCTATATTAACATAATACTTTTATAATTAAATTACATTATTCTTAAAGAAAATCAATAAAATAATGAATCCATTTATTGAAATAAACTACTTTTATTACAAATTTACCTAATGATATCAATGACGTTAAATATTGTATTTTAGTATTCACAGTTTTAGATATGAAAATATCAGTAATATTATTTATGTAATTCATCTTGGGTTTAAAAAAAAGATTGAGTCATTTTGTTAACATACAACATTTGAAAAAATTATTTGATTTTTTCGATGTCACAAAAATTGTTTTTACGTACTTATGCTCACAATTCCATTTGTACTTATCAGCAGAACGTGCTTGAATTCATCGAAATTCTTGAAGCATGTATGCTGATAAATATGTTCTAAATTCATTAATTGCCAGCCACAATTCCAACATTCATAAGTCATCTGCGAACATTATGTTTAATATTCTATTTAGTTAATAAGTGGTAAAAAAATAACAAAGCCCCACAAAAAAAAAGTGTCATGTACTTTTGATAGGAATACCCTAACCCTATGTATTTTGACGCGCTGAACACGAATCCGAAGTCCGTTTTGCTCCATCACGTCAGGTTTTTTTTCTAACCTCAAAAAACATGTCGGATTTTGTGAAGTAGGCGATTTTTTTAAAAATTGATGTATTAACTTCAAACTTGGTATCTGGGGGTTTTTTGTGTCGCTGATTACGAATCTGAAGTTAGATTTTCAAAATCCAAAATGGCGGATCCAATATGGCGGACGAATTTTGAAAAAATTTTAAGATTTACTTCAAACTTGGTATCTAGGGGTTTTTTGGGTCGCTGATTACGAATCTGATGTCAGATTTCCGAAATTCGACATGTCTGATTCAATATTAAGGAATTACTTTTAAAAAATTGTCAGCTTATTATGAAATTTTGTATCAACAGGTTTTCTAAGTTGCTGACAAGTAACACTAGGGAAGTGCCATACGACGATTTTTCTGAAACTTGGCAGTTTTGTAGTTTTTTAAAAACAATTTGACACGTATGTTTTGTTTTTCCCCAAAAGCTGATTTATGGGGGGGGAACTACCCCTTGAATTTTTTTTTGGTAGGGGGACATTATTTTACGAAATTTTTTAAAAATTAATGTGCAATAGTGTATCTGGGGGTTTTTTGAGTCGCTGATTACGAATATGATGTCAGTTTTCAAAAATTGATAATGGCGTATCTAGTATGGCCGATAGAAGTCCATGTTGGATATGCCATTTTAAATTTTTGAAAACTGACATCATATTCGTAATCAGCGACCCAAAAAACCCCCAGATACAGATAATGGCGTATCTAATATGTCCGATAGAAGTCCATGTTGGATATGCCATTTTGAATTTTTCAAATCTGACATCATATTCGTAATCAGCGACCCAAAAAACCCCCAGATACCAAGTTTGAAGTAAATCTTAAAATTTTTTCAAAATTCGTCCGCCATATTGGATCCGCCATTTTGGATTTTGAAAATCTAACTTCAGATTCGTAATCAGCGACACAAAAAACCCCCAGATACCAAGTTTGAAATTAATACATCAATTTTTAAAAAAATCGCCTACTTCTCAAAATCCGACAAGTTTTTTGAGGATAGAAAAAAATCCTGACGTGATGGAGCAAAACGGACTTCGGATTCGTGTTCAGCGCGTCAAAATACATAGGGTTAGGGTATTCCGGTCAAAAGTACATGACACTTTTTTTTTGTGGGGCTGTGTAATTGTTAATATTAAATATACATATTTTATTTCTTGAAAAAAATAAAATTTTACTCTAAAAAAATTTTTTACAGATTATAATCTAATAAAATAATACCATTAAATAAACATGAAGGATAATACCAAGTTATTTTATTTAATAAAAAAACAATAATTCAACATTAAAATTTCATGTTAATAATATAAATATCACTTTAATTTCAATTTTATTATAAAAATAACCTCAAAATTTCTCTTACCTGGCAATTTTCGTCCGACATTATTTACAGTCTACTTACAAACAAATTAGTTACAAACACAACTTGTTTATTTTATAACAAAAGAGGAAATTTATATCTATTGTATATACTTATATAAATATAAAAAATATTATATTTCATATAAGTGAGGCACATGTCACACATACAAAATTCAAAACTGAACAGACAGCAGGGATGGTATGTCACGGCACATCAGAGATGGAACGCTTTGACAATAACGCATGACTGTCGGGAACGCAACGCACAACGGACCCATGGGACTTCACCCTTAAAATTAGGCACAATATTATAGG